TCGCTTAATCGTTCTGGTATCGATTGATCTGTAACTTATGATTAAATTCATTATTATGGCACAGCTATCGGATAATAGTTGAGCAATTATCTTGCGGAACGAAAATGGCGAGAAGTAACGTGCATTGTAGGCATCATACTCATGTGTTACGTACAGTATTAAATGAAATTACTTAACTGTCTAGAAAGTGATCGGTCGGTAATGAAGATTCTAAAAAAAAAATTAATTTTTACGTAATCCTACAATTTTGAGGGAATATCCAATTTGAAATTAAATAAATAAAAAGAGTACGTTAGGAATCCTCTGTGAATTGTAATGTCATTGAAACTGTAGGATCAAAATAAAAATTATATTCTTTTACTTTTCATTGCTTTATACTAGTAACCAGATAAAAGTTTCTTTTTCGAAAATAATTTCCTTAAAAGCTAATAACGATCTTGGGTCAACTCTCATGTTCGGTTAAAAAAAAAAGTCAAAATACTTCGACCAACCAGGACTACGGTAAGAATTCAAATAATTAATCGCCCTTAGACAACCCTGCGATCTTTGCATTCCAGGAATGTCTGACCGTGACGATACGAAGCCGATTACGAATGCATAAAATACCAAACGATTGTCTTCAACATTCCCGAGTCATTTTACGAGACGGATGGCTCTTTAAGTTCGGTGACAAATTATCAATACGCGATTGACCATCTCCATAACTAGCGCACTCTAATCCACGTGATACCCTGGCCTAATTCAATCTTTCATAAAAATTACTGGTCACGTGATATACTGAAAACCCCCATAATTCGGCCATTTAAAAAGTAAGGTTAAGATAAGATCGAATGCATCAACAGTGTAAACCTCAAAAATAACTTAAAGATTAATCGATTATAAATGATTATAATGACGATGCTAATCGATTATGGTGATCGATTACAGGCAAAGTATAAACAATAACAGCAGAGGCTGAGAGGACAAAGAGGAGTTACTAATTTCGAACAAACTTATACGGTTGGTTAGTTCCTTTTTTCTCCACCGCGCTCCAGACGGTTCCGCCGTAATATGCGAGTCTATACTTATTCGTAAGGCTTGTCGGCCGTAGGATATGGGTACCAACCTATGTTACGGCTAAGCATGTATGCATGTTCGGTGCATAAATAAGGAGCACAGCTCGGGATGCATTAAATCACGCGCGAGGATCGCGTGTGTGGAGTTTCAGGTTGGCCGAGAGTCCAGAGGGAGGCAGGATTGCGCTCGGTCTCGCATTCGCATTTGTGGTAGAGTTCGCGTCGAGCGTATATGGATGTGCGCATGCGCACGAGTATGCCGCTTGAGTTTACGTTTACGTATGCGTTGCTCGCGCACCCCGTGGAGCCAATATGCCCTCGCATCAACTGGCCTTCTTGAGTAGCTCTCCCTCCGAAGTAGCGTCGTCGCTGACTCCTCTTACTGCCACTCGATTTCCCTCTGGCGTATTATTATCTTAGAGGATGGAAAATTCCCTTTGATTCTCTTAATCGCGCAGCGGATGGATAAACGGCGACCGAAGTGTCTGACGAACGTTGTAATCGATGCCCGAAAGATACTCGTGTCGCGGACACGTGTTGTCGATGAATAATTGAATTTTTCAACCAGCAGCAGAATCGATCGATCGATCGATCGTTCCGCAGTAACTTATCATACTTGAGGGTCGTTGATCGTGAAGTTGAAGCTGGGTGAAGTTGATCGACAATCGCTGATTCATCATGCGATTATACCAGTGAGGTTATGTATGCGGACGGTTCGAGTGGTTACGCAATATCTTTATACCGTGTGTACGGAGTGCGTATGCCAATCTTGCCGTCGATTCTAAGTACAAGGATTGATTGGACAAACGTTGAAGAGCGAACAGCCGACTAGAGAGGCGTGACGTGGGTTATGAGAAATTGTCAAAATTCTGGCAAAATATAGACGTGTCGTTTTGCTCGCACCTTCGAAAAAAAGACTCTCACAATCTATCATGGGCAAAGAGTCGAGCAAGAAGTGAGGTTAGGAATGTTAATGTGGTACAGTCGGTGGGCTGCAATGCGCATGCGCCACCCCCCGCAGAGCCAATCACCGCCCGAGAAATGGTAGCTGTGCCCAAGTCAGCTTCTCGGGTCCCTAAGAACGAAGTAGGAAGATGTCCGGTGAGTAGGAGCAGTGGAAGTGGAAGACGAAGGAGCGACGAAGAAGAGGTAGGAACGGAATAGGGGGAGAGAGAGAGAGAGGGGGAGAGAGAGAGAGAGAGAGAGAGAGAGAGAGAGAGAGTGAAATAACGAAAAAGAGAGGAAGGAAGAGTAGGTCGTAAGGTGGGGTCGAAGGCATAGAAGTGCAAGAAGAAGAACAAATGCTTAGTGGTGGAAGAGTAGGAGGAGGCGAAAGAAGAAGAGACGAGGAGGCTGATTGCGTCCGGGCCGCGTAAATCTTGTTGATGGAAATTGTCCGCGGAGCTTCAGTTTGTTCGGCGATTACGTCCTGCAGTGAACGCGTTCACCGGTAGCACGGGCTTCTGCGCCCTCGAGATTAATGAGCCCCGTACTTGGGATTTTTAATTCCAAAGTCCGAGTGCAAATAAGCACGGCCATCCATCTTGTCCGCCAATTACACCAACAGGTCTTCGCTAGACCTCGCGGATCTCGGTTCGATCCGACTTTTCTCAGTGATGGATAAGCCAGTTCATTCGCTGAGTAATGAAGACGGTACCGAACGGAATGTCGAGCAGCAGTAATATCCAGGACAAGAAACACTGCAGCTTGAGAAAATTGTATGCGAGAATTTAATACCGATTGAGACTGTGACTTTGGATCTTTCGGAACGATCCATTCACTTATCGGGGGCCCCGTGCGTCGAATGACAGGGGAGCATCGTTATTCATGGGAAGCCACAGTCTTTCTTCTCGACTTCCTTCTCAAAGAAGGTCGTTGGAGTCAAACCGGAAGTAAGGAAAAAAAAGCTAAGTGACATAAAGCCCAGACGTATCGGATACGCAAGTATTCGATAAATTATAACTTTGCTCGCAACCAGACTTAATTTTAAATTGTAAATAATTTGAATTTTGAAAGTTACTACCTATGAGCCCAAATTAGAAGAATGCCTGATTTACATTTCGAGATTTCGGATGAAGCTATAAATAATTACAGTGGTGGAATGTTAATGTGGCTCTAGGTCTTGAGAGAGGACCGGAGCAGTAAACAGAGATGGTAATAGTAAGGAGACAAAGAGAGAGAAGGAAGGAAGGGATGTTCTCGAGACCCCCCGCCAACCGCATATAGGTATATTCGATATAAGATACTGACCTGGTCCTCTATCTTTTTTCCTGAGAATAAGATTTGAGAATAATTGTACATTTCCCTGGGAACGCCAGCCATTCTTTGGTTAAGCTGAATAAAGCCAACCCATCCTGCGGGACTCGGTGTCTCCTTCGAAACCCACCCACGGGCGCCACAGTCCACTGTACCGTCCGATAGAAACCCAAAATTCCCAAGCAAATCGATTCGATCATCCAGCACGTAGAATTCAGCTGTTGATTGTCAGATGCAAATTTTCCTACAGTATTGGACTTTAGCAATTCCATCTGATTATTCAACATTCCAGTCGTTATTGATAGCACAACGATAAAATCATCGGCAAAATTAGAAATTGATAATTCAAATTTCCTTATCTCTTATCGTATCGAAATTTTGCATAACGCCATAGAAATTCCACAGGTGACCTGAAGCATTGGAAACAATCTAATTCAAGGGTGTGAAATTGTGTGTGCGCGTCACTGAAGAAGGGTCGGTAATGCAGATCGTATCGGAGGATCAGAATGATAGTCGTGGGTCGAGGGTCGAGGCTCCAGATTGAACGGATGAGGGCAGGAGTAGGTAAGGGGTGAAGACGAGGTTGAGGATCGGTGGAAACTGTCACGGACAGAGACGACGCCCGGGGATGGTACCTCCATCCTATTCCCTTCCCGTACGTCCTCGTCCTCGTCTGTAATCGCGGGGGCGGCAACGTCCTGTCCCCGACAGGATCACATCATCAGGGAACTCCATTTAACGCCGTGTCTCCAGCCTTCCCGCAGCCGAGCACTTTTACGCGATAGAAAATTCACATTTGAAATTGTAGCATCGCGAACGGACGTTTGGAATCCAACGGAAAACCTTGTTTCTCGAATGTCAATTGATTAACGATTATCTGAACTGCTCTTATCATTATCGCAAGAGTAACGGCACCAGAGAGATAAACGATACCAAAGTGAAATACAAGAATCAGGTACTTCGCTGGGTCTACCTTCCCGGTATATATTGCGTCACCGGTAGTTTTAGTGCACAGTGGTCCAGCATCCAGGCAACTGCTAACAACCCGAGGATCCTTATGAGATACTCCTATATCCCGTGCCTTTAGATAATTAATTTGGTCCTGTGTCTGGCCCGGTAGGTAGTCCTTAGGTCCACCCTCTGACTCCACTACACTCATTCCTTCAGCTAGTTAGATCCTAGAGAGTCTACCTAGGCCCGCCATGGGCACTGCCGGATTTCCCGTAGTTTCCTATGAGAAAATTCCAAGCATTCCAGGGTCCCATTGTTTTACATCAGCGCGGCGCTCGACATGCGTCTCGTGATGATCAGGCAGGAGGATGGAAGCTGAACCTATTACATAGCTGGGATCACGGTATACACGTGATCAGCCAGATGATTGGTTCGTCTCCGTCAGATCGAGAAGACGTAATTAATACCTGAAGAAAAAACATTTGTGCATACGTCCTTACAATGCAAATTTAATCCTACATAAGGTAAGTACGATCTGTTAATCGTTAAATCACAAATAAAAGCTAAATTTTGCGTTTCAACGTTTCAGCGGGTTAAACGTCGTATGCGAATGATTAAGAACGTCCCAATTATCCTGTGAAACAGAATCCGTACGATCGTAATATTCGAGATATCGTCCGAAGTAACCTGATCCCAGAGGGAGGATAAATAAGGAGTCTCTTTGAGCAGAGGAAAGGCGGAGAAATGGCCGTTGTCGTCTACTGGAGTAGGGCTACTTGATTAACCTCGGTTCGTAAACTCCGATACGGTAACCACCCGCGCCGTATACTGTTGCGTAGATTAGGCTATACTAAAGTCCGCGAGCGCTATAACATCCAAAGGCAGGTATTTTAGGATGCCAGAAACGGTATGAAGGAAGAGCTGTCCGCGCCTGGGTAGACATCATTACTTATCATATCCAACCTCAAAGAAGCTTCCTCTCGGCAGTTTGGCAGCGCTACAGCGATCTTTCTCTTTCTGTATATTTTCTCTCTCGCTCTCTCGATATACTTTTATTATTTTTTATTAATTTTACTTTCCCCCTCACTTTGCACCACGTTCATTCATTTCGTTTTCTATGTATTGTAACCTTACTCGCACGATACGGTTCTCCGGATCGTGCCAGAAAGGCGGGTTCGAGCCAGAATCGACTGTTAGGAATTTGGGAAAGATATCAGGCGGAACAAATAGAAGTGAGATTTTGTTTTACAAATTACAAAATAAAAATATATTGTCCTACAACGGAATACAAGAAAGGTTAGTGCAGGTCCAGCTTAGAAAATGCTGGATGTTGGTAAGCGAAGAATAGATATAAACGTAAGCGGACAGTAAGAATGATTATAAATGGCGTATACAAATGATTAGTGTTCGAAAAGTAAATTGTATAAATATGATTGTAAGACGAGGTTTACTTACACGATATGTCTGAAGGGACTGGAAATAATAGGTCCGTCTACTCTCGTGTGATTCTATTTTGACCCTAGTTGTTTTTGTAGAAATGAAATATAGAATCGTGTCTGAAAAGCAGCCTTCGACCAGCGGCATTTGATTACAGAGTTGACTCGTTAGAATATAAGCGTCGTACTGTTGAGCAGTCTTTCACTAGGGAACTCGTGATCACAGGTAGACGTGGTCCTATCTAAAACAACGTTGCTATCTTGGCGAGGTGAGAAGTCTCATTCGCAAAGTAGCTAGTTGTGCAAGTCTTTAAACAAAGTTAGGATGGCATGTATAGCGGAAACGGCAGAATCATCAAACGTACCAAAGTGACGGCCCAACTGAAATGCAGAGATTGATTCTATCTGGCAGAAGAGACGCTTTGCTCTATCTAATGCTCGAGTCGCGAAACGTCGCCGTTTATATTCCCGTCAACGGTTGGCCAGGGGGCCTGAGAGGTGCGGAAGAATCGAGCGTCGCGATGCCTACGAATTGTTATTGCTTGATATTTAAGGTTATTCGGGTTAGCGGGATCTTATTATTACCGCGATACGAATATCCTCGGACGTATAGGTTACAATATATGTGTATATATATATATATATATATGCCTTTACAGAGTACGATCAATGGAGTAGTATTCGCTGAAGTACGGAAACGATTCCTTCCGGAAGGGACCACGAGGACGTCGTCGAGAGACACTATTTCACGGGTCCGAGATTTATTTGGCTTCCTGAGATAAACTCTGCTCCCCAACACGAGCAATTTATGTAGGATGGACGTAGGTATACTATAAGGTGGTAAGGAGTCAAGGAAGATACAGTGACATCCGGAACGAGCCAGGGTACCTATTGTCAATATCATTGAGAAAGATCAAATTATGATGTTATTACGAATTTCATACCGTTGGTTCAATGTTTCAGATGTACGATTCGAATCGGGCTCCGATTCGTTATCGAGCAACTCGAGGCTGAGAAACGAATGGTGGGATCAACGAAAAGCGGCATAACTTGCCACATACTAATATCCGAAGGATCCCAGGACTTTGAAACGCGAGGATAAAAAGCAAGGACGGAGCCCGCCGATGAAGCTGACTCTATCATAATTCTGGCATCGATCATTCGCAAAAGAGTCGCCCGCGAAATTGCCATTCGTCCACACACGCTCGCAAAAAATCTAGCAGGAACACGAAATACTTTATTCATACGAGTTTCGGGGGAGGGGGGGGATGCTGATCGCCGAGTAGGTTCGCTAGGGGAACAGGGAGCCAAGTTTCTCGAGGGGGGAGGGTATAGTCATGTTTTAGCGGTGGTGTATAGAGATACCAATAAATATGTCTTCGCCAGCATGCAATATGTATGTCAGCGTCTGCCAATCCGCGGATACATGGACTAAGACGGTCCCCTCGTTCACGTGCGAAAAAACTCTTTCAGTTACGCACCGGTCGACCCTTGGACGTATTAAGACAAAATGATCTTGTGTTTGATCGACATGGGTTTATACACTCTAGATAACTACGGTGGTAGACTATGATATTTTGTGAAATATTAAAATTTAGTTAAATTGATTTTTTATCTGCAGCCATTTTTTTTTGTCATCGGTTTTTAGGTACCGAATTAAATTACCCATCTTCAATTTGAATGATTTTGAAATTCCAATATTTCTTATCTCGCGTGGTAAACATTTTTTTTTCGGTGCGTAGTTATTATTATTGAAATATGCACGTTTTGCAAAATTTGTTTGTTATTTAGATTTGTAATTGCAGATTGGTGAACGGGAGGGGAGCGGGGGTGAAAAAATGTTAATTATTTGTGCTCTACCTGGTGACTGTCTAGGGGTTGATTTGTAGGTAAAAATGAAAAAAAAATTGGTTTTTACAAAGTTATTATATATGTATATGCAATACAGATGTATTTCACGAATCTAAGAATTACTTGACCCTTGCAGAACTGTAGATTTAAGTGTGTCTTGTATCGGTACCTAGAATAATGGGACACATTTTACTTAAAGGTCTGTAAGGATTAATGAACCATACACGCTATTTAACCATAGTGGAAGAAAGGGAAATTTTTGTGTGACTCGTACAACGGAAGGTTACGACTTTACTGGATCCTTGTACCATTTTGCCTTAGCTACACGTTCCGATATATGGTAATTAGATGACCTCCCTGTTGGCTAGGTTGCCAAAAGCGTAGCCAACAATTTTTTGCGACAATTTATGATGTACGGAAATAAATTGTCTACCCTCTGAATTGGAAGCGCTCACGCCCGTGCATCGTCGATAAAAAAAATCATCTCTTACGAAAATTATCAGATGGATGTTGTAAACTTTTTATAAAAAAATCACGAAAATTTTAAATATCGTTAGGTCCATCATCCTCTTATAAGAAGCTGATAAAGTAAACCTAGTAGAAATTTCCTTTGGCAAGTCCAAGACCTGCCCATCAGTTTCCCACTGGATCGGACCAGGACTAGGACGTCACCAAGTCCCAGATACATTCATAGTAAAATTTCTACTAGGATCAATTAACTCATGGATCTGATCTCGCAGTAAAAAATTCCACGTGTTTTATTAAATTATAAATGAAATCCCTTTTGTCAATGACAATATCTATTATTTATATAATTACCCAAATAACGATACTCAACAAACACATGAGTATCGCATAACCATTTGGTAGATGCAAAATGAAAAATAAATGTTTTAATAAAAAAAATGTTTTTTTATACAATTATCAAAATTAGTAAATCATGGTGAAAACTGCTACGATTGGTATTACATGGCGCCATAGTACTGTTGAAAAAAAATACTATAAAATAGGTAAAGCGATAAGTGCAGGACGAGGATCGAATGCGAAGTAGATCGCGTCGAGAGTCTGAAGATATGAAACGGAAGAAGATAATGAGAGAAGAGCGAAGGAGAATAAGAAAATATAGAAGAAGTGGTATACGAAGCAGATTAGCAACAACGGAAGAGGAATGGACTGTAAGGTTAGAGATGGGGCTGACAAGAGAGTCCGAGAGTCGCGCATTCGCGGCGCATCGGGTGGTCGCCGATCGCGACGGATAGACGGCCGATGCCAAAGCAAAACATAGCTCGATCTCAAGTATTAACGATCTCATCAATAAAGTTCCCTCTCGAAGACCCAAAGACCCAAAGACCCGGAGAGGACGCGCAAGAAAATTACCAATTTGTTGAATACTCCGTCCATAATTTCATGGGGAAAAAGTAACCGTCGGCGTTTTGTACCCTACTGACAATACCGATTGGTAAGTTGCCTCTTTTGGTAAAAGACCAACTCCTACGGGAAGATCGATCGCTACATTAATCTATCGATAATCGAAGACACCATTTGTCAAGTACGCACCAGCTTTCCCTAGGAACCTGTCGTCAGACTCCCTTTTCTTAATCGACAGAATTCTTACGCCCATTCGTACGTAAACGTTACGTCAAGTAATTCTACTTGGTTTTTTTTTTCGAATTTCCCGCCTTCGTTAAATCGACCACTCAACGTTTCCCTTATTTGTTAGTGAGTCGAAAGCGATCGACGATCGATGGAAATAAGCCACGATAACCTCGAGGAGAGACGAAACGGAGAGATCGACTCAAACTATTTAGGGTGTCAAGATGGCCGACCGAATTGGCTGCCATTGACATTAGGCAGATGCATACTTGCTTTTATTATGCTGCTAACCATATCAATTCGACTCGCTCGGTTACCTAAATAAACGCTGTATTCCGGGACGTTGAATCACAGTGAAAAAATACGCATAAAATCAGCCCATAGTTTGAACTCGCTACAAAATCCAAAACCATCCCTAAAATCGATGAGACGAAGAACCATAACGGTTTTTCGATTTTTCTTAAATTTCGATGAACTTTGACAAGAAATAATGGTGACGCAAAAAATCAAAATGATTTTCAAATATACCAAAATTTCCCAAAGACGTATCAATGAATATACATACAATAACCGATACTATTCATATAGAGTCAGTTCGCAGCTAGAATCATATCATAATCATGAAGAATGTTACGCACGCGCGTGCACGATGCCCTATGTGCCCACTCACTCCCCTCTAGCCCTCCATTCCTTCCGGTTTACTCAGCACTTCCGGGATTCCAAGTGTCGATGCTGCGCGCACACAAATGAGACACCGTATAGAGATTCACGGAGCATGGAACATAAGCATAGAGTTTCAGCGCGAACTGTCGTAAGGCGAGGAGGGCGATAGGGGAGGGCGGCCAAGGGGACGGAGGGGAGATCCGCGTATCCATAAGCGCACACGGACACGAGCGCCGTACAAGCATTAGGTCGCGCATCCACGGGTCTGTGATTTACAATGGGACGCCGCACTCCACGATGGGGTCGTCTTTGTCCTTGGTGTGAATTCGCTGCATTATATTCGCACGGGATGGGAAGATACGTGATTGTTTGCATTATTTATGATAATGTCGCCGTGTTGGCTATGAATTTGATATTCCAGATTGAAATTACTCGAGCGAAAGAAAAAAAAAGGAAATGCGAAAGAGTATATCACCGTTTCCTCTATTTTTACGTTTTTCTTTAAATTCTCCATTTTTACATTAAGCGATCGCTCGGTGTCGTCTTAGGTAATTTTTCATTAATGGTCCTTAGGGATCTACGGTCCGGTCGAGTACGTTTTATTCGTTCACTTATTCGGTAGCCACAGTAAGGCCTGTGGGGAATTTGGTAAACACGCGTGTCGAGGCCACGTGCAATTAAGGAGTTATTAAGTCAAAGTGTCGAACCGCCGTACTAATCCGGATCCACGTACGAACACGTATGACATTATCGTCGAATTAATTTCGACGAACCGAAGAAGTCTCGTATATTCTCCGACATGAGTTATTTACGAGTAATCGATGCGCAATTATTTATCAGACCGATCCGCTCGGATCGTTTTTATTCGCGTGCGCCTTAATGCATCGGTGGACGGATGCGTGCGATTTTCTACGATTTCAAAACCTGCTTTCGTCGAGCAGAGAATCGCTGACGATGATGAGGACGGGCGGGACGGGTACCGGGCCGAGGACAATGACGATGCTAAATACACGAGTTTGCGCTGTACTTCTCGAAGACTCCCCCGAGTACGGGTCGTTTCTTGTGATTGAATTTTCATTCCAGTTCTTAGCGCAGAACGTTACGTCGACTGGATCGCGGTGATATATTTCATACACATAGCCCACGTGTAGGCAAGTATTTCATTCCGTGTGTCTGCGCCTATGTAACTGTTGTGTATGATGTACATTCAATATATGGAGCACGAAGGCCTAGGGGACGGGCGATGAACGTGTCACAAGCAGCCCCCTGGGCCTAGTTATGAGTTCCCTTAGGGCGCAGTCAATCGACTCGACTTGACTAACCAGCCAAGAAGTTGGCGTACATTGACCGTATAGCGTTTGACACAGAGGCAGTGGATGGAATTTAAAAAAATAAATAAAATTTTTTTTCAAAAATTATTTATCAAACTTACGTTATCCGTTGCAAAGAAATATTATGACGTGCTGATTCGTTTTTTCGAGCTCATTATTTATACGAAAAACGTTTATGGAAATCCTGGCAAAGCAACAGACCCGAGCGTGACTGTATCGGCAAGTTTAACTAATGATTTTAGGCGAGATCCAAGGGGTACCAGAAATCCTCTTTTATTTGAAAAAAATTCGCAAAGCATAATTTACCTTTGATACTTTCATCTTCCAGAAATAGCACCTGGGTATTACGATATACCCATGTACCACGTGTCCAAGGACATGTCGTAATCTGACGCGAGAACGAAAAGTGGCTAAGAGTTTAAATCCAATCGGTTTGCTTGGGTAATATTTGTGTCGGCCGCGGACAAAAAGGGACACAATGCTGAGCGCAGGATCGATTCTCCTCGGTTTAGGCCATAGACGGCGGACGGACGATGATGCGTGATGGCGGGTCGTTCTTGGTGAAGTGGGGCACATTGTTGCCGAAATGTTCGCCTTCCAACGAGAAACAACGAGCTACCAGCCATGGTGCTGTAATTAATCACTTTTTTGTTCCGCGAGCTAGAAGGAAGGAGTCGCCCTCTGGTGAGCGACCTCAGGTCGCAATCTTGTACCACGAGGGTGCAGAGCTTTTCGAGTAGCTGCGGATACGTTGCTGTCGGTGAGTTTCTTCAGGATCCAAAC